GGTCTGGGACACGAACCGCAGTCGACTATGTGGGAGTCCAGCGACATAGCCATTACGCTAACTGCTGGTTCCCCCTTCTCTTCTATTTTTTGACACACATGCACATGTGCCCAGCTGGGTTCAGGACTCAAACTGTGCAGTTAGCCATTTGGGGTCCGGCTGCTATAACCACCATGCCATGGGCTGGCTCTTGTTTCTTAAATAAGTAGAGCACAAACCCAGCTGGGGTGGTACACTTGGGAAGCTGGATGCTACATAGGATGCAAGGTTTTGGTTCCTGGGCCTACCTGAACACACAGGGTGCAGTTGCAAGTGTAACTGGGAGGCTGGGACAGGATAGTAAGGGCGAGAGTCTGGCAGAAATACCTGCCTCTGTCTTTCTCCCTCTTCCTTTCTCTGTCGTAAAAAAAAAAAAAAAAAAAAAAAAAAAATACAGGAACCAGCAGTTGGCGTAATGGCTATGTTGCTGGACTCCCATGTAGCCAAATGTGGTTCTAGTTTTGGTCCTGGGCTTAAACTCATGCCAGGCGTGTGTGCGTGCCCAAGATCCTGAGAGGAGAATGGAGGAGAAGGGATTGTGGTGTGGCCACCCCCCGGGGTTGGGGGGGAAGGGTGATTTCTAGCTGTCTGTCTCTGTCTTTCTGGCCAGCGCACGTGCCCTATAGCAAAAAACTCTCAAAAAAAATAATAATAATAGAGAAAGGATGTGGGTGAGAAGAATGTATTGAGGCATTGCTAGAATCATTTACCTTGTCTAAGAGTGATTTTTTTCCCCCAAATAAGTATTTACTTAATGTTATTATTATTATTACTATTTTAAACATTTGCTATAGGGCATGTGTGCTCACCAGAGACAGACAGAGAGAGGGAAAGTGAGAAAGCAAGCTGCCAGGTTTGGTCTCTGACTATGGCTGACCATGTGGGAGTCTAGTGCCTTTACCACAGGAGTGGTTTTTAAATTAGCTTTTTTGCTGGTGAACTCTTTTTGATCACGTTACTGATTTGGGTCTGAACTTTGAAGGTGATAATCTCACAAAAATGACGTTGAATTACAGTATTGTGTGGGTGAGCACACGGCCCTTGGAAGACAAAGGCAGAGCTACTAGTCTTCACTGGAAAAGAATCAAAGAAGGCTTATTAAGGAGGGGATAGTTTGAGGTAGGTCTTGAAGGAGGAGGAAAGGACTGTTTTATCCAGGTTGAAGAAACTATTTTAATAAAAAAGAAGTTGGGCCTGCTGATAAAGGGAGCCAGATCCTACACAGCCAAGAGTGCAGTTCGTGTCCTGGACCTGGTGACTTGAAAAGCATACCGGGAGGGTATTTGCCCCAAATCTTGGAAGGAGGGAGAGATAAAGGGATTGTGGTGTTTCTATTCCCCATCGGATTGCTTTCTCTTTCTCCCTCTCCCTCTCTGGTGAGTGCACATGCCCTCTGATAATTTTCTTTTTAAAGTGCTAGGCATGGTGGCCTTTGCCTATGATCCCAGCTACTCAGGAAGCTGAGGCAGGAGGATCATGAGTTCGAGGCCAGCCTGGGTAACATAGCTGCCCTGTGGGACTCTTTCTCTAAATATGTCTTAAAAAGATGAGCAGAAATCAGCCTTGTGTGTTCTCAAATGCTCTCCAGTGCACCCCCACCCTTGGCTAACTTGATGCCACCTTATCCAAGGGCTTCTCTGGAGGACCCTGGCCTCTTTGGGTGGCTAAGCTTAAACCCTTCATCTGCACATTCAGCTATTATGTCAAAGTGTGGCTGCTGAGTTTTGAGCCCTGGATCCCCTCTACCTCACTGGGTGCTATTAGGAGCCGATAGGAGTTTGGCTGGAATTCTGTGTACCTATGATAGGCGCCCTTGACCCTGCATTTCAAAACATTGCAGGTGAGACCCTTAGCTTCCCTTGCCATGCTCTGGCTTTCAGCTTCAGCGAATCCAGGCTGCAGGCAGATCTCTTCTTGTAGAATAATGTGTGTCTCACAAAGGCGGTGACTGAGCCTTCTCTCTCTCTCTTTTTTTTAGAATTATTTTTTTATTGGGACCAGCATTTGGCATAATGGCTATGTTGGCCTATGTTGCTGGACTCCCATGTAGTCAACCACGGTTTGAGTCCCAGACCCGGTGGCTTAAACTCATGCCGGGCACATGTGCATGAGTGCCCAAGATCCCGAGAGAATGGAGGAGAAGGGATTGTGGTGTGGCCATTCCCCCTGGGGGGTGATTTCTCACTTTCTGTCTCTCTCTGTCTTTCTGGTGAGCACATGTGCCCCTATAACAAAATAGACAAATAAATAAATAAAAAGAAGAAGAAAAAGAAATTGAAAGCTCACTCAAGTCACTTAGCAGAGAAAACCTATTAAGATGGCGGTGATGTCCAATAATCACCACAAATTGGGTCTTTGAATGCTGCCCTAAGAATTCTTAATTTCTTCACTTTTTTTAAATTAAAAAATTATTTTTTATTTAACTTTATTTATTTATTTATTTATTCATTTTAATTTGACTAGAGAGAGACAGAGTGAGAGAGAGAGAGAGAGAGAG